CCTAACCTTCACCCTAACCCCAACTCTACCCCTAAACCTTACCCTCACCCTAACCCCAACTCTAACCCTAACCCTAACACTAAACCTCACCATAACCCTAACCCTAACCCTCACCCCAGCACACCCTCAGACCAAACCTAAGGCTCACCCTAACACTCACCCTAAGTCTCACACTCACCCTAACCCTAATCCTAACCCTCACAAAAAAAAATGTAAAATTACAAAAAAAAATAATAAAAAACAGAATAAAAAAAAAAGAAAAAGGAGAAAGGAGAAGTCCTGAAGATGTCATTGCGTTCGCATGGAGTGGAAGAAGTGTCAAGGAAAATCCATTTCTCTACATAAGGAAATGTTCACTTCAAGCTGACTGCTGTTGACTGTGAAACTTTCCTCTGAGGCCTTATCTTTCTTAGTTCAGGCTGTCCTTGATCCCTCTATGTATCCCAGCTACTTTCTTACTTCTGTCTCTCAAGTGTTGGGATGGCAAGTTCCATGCCTAGCAACTATTTTAATTGAAGTTTTGATCTCTTTTGTGGTATAGTTGCTCTGTGTAATGTGATATCAGCTAGAATTAATTCACTCTTCCTTATTTAGAGAGGAGACACACATTTGTGCTTTCCCCCCCCCTCCCTGGATTGCTTTGATCTTCAGCAATAACTGTTAAGGGTCAGAGGTGTCTGAAGAGCTATTTGAGCTTGCTGCCCTGCAGTCATCATCCGTCAGGAGGGGATCAAGTCTTGTCTAGTTGGCTTCTTTGCATAGCCTTAAGGAGCAGGGCTGTTGAAACCCATTTCAGAAACAGACTAAAGTTGATACTGCAAGAAATGAGTATAAAAAGCAAATATTTGAGTAAACAGTGAAAGCTTCAGTTCCTACCGTCTATAATGATCTTAATTTTTTTCTTTCAAAAACAACTTTTTGGCTGCAACTGTATCTTAGTGGTAAAGCATGTGCTTAGCATGTGTGAGGCCCTAGATTTGTTCCCCAGCACCAAATAATTTGACAGACAGATACATAAAAGATAAAGAGCAACTTCCTACTTCATCTTCTGTTGTACTGCTTGTTAGAGTCAGAATATTCTTTGCAACCGGAACTGTGCTTGCTCCCTTGTTTATTGATTCATGGTAGGAAAGCCTAGTGATTCCTAAATGTCAGCTCCCATAGTTCTTAGGGAGACTTGTGGGACTCACTCAGTAAATACATTGCACAAATGGGAGGTCTGCCTATCTAGTGATTTTGATTTTGGAAGTCTAACATGTTGGCCTGGGAGTCCTGCATTTAAAAACCCTCAAAAACTTGGTTGTGCCGGGCGCTGGTGGCTCACGCCTATAATCTAGCTACTCAAGAGGCTGAGATCTGAGGATCCTGGTTCACAGCCAGTCTGGGCAGAAAAGTCCATGAGACTCTAATCTCCAATAAACGACTCAAAAAAAGCCAAAAGTGGGGCTGTGGCTAAGTGGTAGAGTGCTAGTCTTAAGCACAAACAGGCTGAGGGATAGCACTCAGCCCGAGTTCAAGATTGGCAAAAAAAAAAAAAAACCCAAAAAACAAAAACATAAAAACTTTGATCTCTCCTATAGTTTCTCAAATCTTAAGGGTTTTTTTGTTTGTTTCTATGCAAGTACTATGGGCCTGAACTCAGAGCCTCCTACTCTTGCTGATGCTGTATCATTTAAGCCAGACCTCTACTTTTGGCTTTTTTGATGGCTAACTGGAGATAAGAGATAATAGCTGAGAACTGAGGTTCAAAGCCAGCTGGGGCAGGAAAAATCCGTGAGACTTATCTCCAATTAACCACCAGAAAACTGGAAGTGGTGCTGTGGCTCAAGCAGTAGAACACTTGCTTGAGCTGAAGAGCTAGCTCAAGGACAGCACCCAGGCCAAGAGTTCAAGCCCCATGACCGAAAACAAACAAACAAAAAACCCTCAAAAACTTGGTTGTTTGGGGGTTGAGGTGAGACTGGGGGGGCATGGGCATGTGAGGGTATGGTGGGGGAGGGAGAGGGAATGACTGCAAAGGCTTTAAAAACATGTAAAATCTTTCCTTTGGAGTGTTGGAAAAATTGTGAAATTAGATTTTGGCTGGTGATGGTTGCATAACTGTTTTAAATGTACTAAAATGCACTGAGCTGAACACTTCAAGTGAACAAATTGCAATGTATCTTAAGAAAGCCATAAATTAAGAAAAAGACCTTCTATAACCTGCTCAGGCGATTCTATCTATTGTCTACCTGTCCTCTCTGTGTGTGTGTGTGTGTGTGTGTGTGTGTGTGTGTGTGTGTGTGTGTGTGTG